TCACTACCCTTTTCTAATCATCTTTATTTGTGCCTCCTCTTTTTCTTATGATCAGTCTTGCTAAATGTTTACTCTTTTATTAGAGTTTTCAGAGCTTTTGATATTGTTGACTTTTTTTTTCATTAATTTCTGTATCTTTAAACCTTTTGAGAGTTTACTCTGTTAGTGTTATAATAACAATGGATTTTTAAAAGCCTTTTTAGTTGAATGCTTACTATTTATATTGTCTCTTATCTTTTCATCATTGCATTTAAAGCCAAAAATTTACCTCTAAGAACTACTTTAGCTGAATCCCCCAGTTTTGATATGTATACCTTTATTGTTGTTTATTGCAGATATTCTGCATTTCCAGTGTGATTTCTTCTTTAATCCACAAATTAGTTAGGAATGTGCTTTTTAGTTTCCAAACATGTCTGTGTTTATTTTAACATTATTTTTATTGTTGATTTCTTAATTCTTTGTGGTCAAAAAATGTAGTTCACACAGTCTTAATTCCTCAGAAACCCTAAGCTATCCCTGCAGGAGATTTCACTCCTGCTCCTGAGTAAGCCCTCAGAATTCACACCACCTTTGCCTCAGTGAAGAAACATGCCAATGAAATTGACAGCCATCTGCTCCAAGCAGAGATACCAACCAGATGGCTCTGCATTTCCGAAAAATACCCAGAAGATGACCTGGAGAAGAAAGTATTGAGCATCGACCTGTGTGTCCCCACCCCAAACTTGAGTCTGCTCCTCCTATGAAGATGAAGCGTGTTATTTTTGGTTACAGCCAGGTCTGAAAGAGAAAGCAGGCATGGTCAAGGGCTCACCCAGGAACTGCTCTGCTAGGTGAAGGGCAACAGCTCCTAGGTGTTGACACTTAACTCTACACATGGGCAGGGGTCCGGATCTCTTTCAAGGTTCTTATCCTCACAGCAAACTGTAGGTAGTGTTGGTAGGAGGGACCACTGGGCAGCTTTGAGGAGCTACTTTGGCCTCTTTTAAATATTAAGTACTTACCAGAGTCCACTGTGCTTTGGATGTTTCCTTGAGATCACAGAAAAATTTAAGCCACCAAAATGAAGGGCTCCAGAAACTATCCTGAGTTCCTGGCCCATGTAAGAGGAAGTCCAATGTTGGCCCTCTGATAGGGTGTAAGATCCAGAGAGCCAGAGCTGGATAAGACTGATCTGTGAGCAGCATGATGTTATCAGACTAAGGGAACCAGACTGACAGGGAGAATTCTGGGAAAGAGCAAACAGAAGGTAATTGTAGAAACCAGAGAATAGCAAGAAGGTCTAAAGCAGAGATTGGGAGATGAAGATCAGAGGAATTCTCTCAGCTACATAGAGAATATAGCCTTTTGTTTTTATTTTGTACCGGTTAATTCCTTTTTTTTGCTTTTCATTTTTTTCTAATTTCTTGAATTTTGAATTCATTTCTTTTGTTCTTTGTCGTTTATTAATGTAATTACAACTTTATATTCTTTAAACAGTTCTTCAAATTTATCTTTAGCTTTAGTTTCTGATATATATTTTAAAATATGTTATTATTGTTGTTTATTTCCTAGGTACTAAAAATGTCAAGTCTGTCTCTTTGACTCAGGAGTTAAAAGAGTATTTAAAATTTTCTGGATAAATTTTTGTCAATTTCAAGTTTTATTATATTGTGATTGTAAAATACTGTTTCTGCCATTTCTACTAAGTGGAATGTATTAAGGTTTGGGCCTAATTTTGTAAATGTTCCATGGGCATTTGAAAAGTCTATTCTCTGTTTTCAGGGCAATTAGATCAGGTTATTTAGTTCTTTTATATCCTTTTTCTGTAAACTTCTTTATCTGTCATGAACTAAGAAAAGTAAATTAGGATCTCCTACTTCTAATGCCTTTCTATTTATTTTTCTATTTCTTATACATTCCACTTAATGAATTTTAATGCTACTTTATTTGTCTTATAAAGAATTCATGACTGCAATGTCTTCATTGTGGATTTTGTGTTTTATCATTATAGAGAGCCTTTTATCCTTTTGGCTTTATTTAATGCTTTCACTCTTCCCCTACCCCCACCAATTCAGCCTCATCTGGTGTAAAATTACGACTTATTTTTTTCCCCTTGCATTTGGCTGGTACATCTGTGCCATCTTTTATTTTCAACTTTTTTGACACTATTTTTCGAGGATATTTTTCTTGCAATAGGTGTACTTATCCCATTGACATTTATAGATATGACTTAGTTCTGTATCACATTTTATGACCTACTTTCTGTTTTTAGAATTCATTTGGTTTCTCTCTTCCTCTAGGGGGTGTATATTTCTTTAATTTGTTTTATGTGTGTTCCTTCTGATTAGGAAGGTTTGTATTCTATTTTTAGCTCTTCTAATGGTTTACTCTATACTATAACTTTTAAAAATGTACTTCATTCTCTGTTTCTTTAGACTATATCTGTTTATTCCCCACCACAATCAATGATAAAATTATTGTACTTTCATTCATCCCGTCTCCTTTACTCCACTTAATTTTTATCAGTCATTATTATTAGTTTTTCTAGTGATCATCTCTATTTATCTTTAGCCACTAAGATATTTATTGCATTGTAATTTGTGTATGATCATCTCTACTGAGATGAATATACTTCTGTCTCTATTATTTGGTTTATTAGATGTAAATGTTATATTTTGATCTTGGATATTAAAGATAAGGAAATCAACAACCTTATACCACCTCCCATCTTCTTACATTTCCCCTTCTTGGTTTTTGTTAATTTTATTAATTTTACTAGTATAGTTAATAATAACATTCTAAACAATATACAGTAATGCTTAAGAGTATGAGCTCTGGAACCAGACTGCCTAGGTTGGAATCTTGTTATCATTTTATGACTGTGTGACCTCGAGCAAGTTACTCAACAGATATTTATTTCCTTATTATTACAATGGATATAACAATATGTTCTATGGATATAACAGAGTTGTTGTCATGTATATAAAAGTATAGCACTAGAACAGTGCCTGACAGATAGTTAGCATCTAGTAACCACCAGATATCAACTTAACAATTATTATGAAATAGATTCCCAGGCTCGTTTTCATCCCAGTCCTACATTTCAAGTGGCTTCCATGTTTGGCTATGTAAAATAATAACTACTGTTATTGAGCACTTATTAAATCACAGATTCTCTATACTCATTATACCATATACCTCACAATGCTATAAATCAAGTACTATTCACATTCTTTTTTACAAATGTGGAAATTGGGAGACAGGCAAGTTACACATCCTTTCTCAGACATCTTGCTGGCATTGCACCACTGTTACCTACCATTCACTGTGGCTTCGGAGAAATCCGAGGCCAATTTGATTTCTTTCCCCTTAAAAGTGTCTTGATCTTTTTGCCTGGATGCTAAAGAGATTATTTATTTTTTTGAAGTCCAGTAAAATTCAACGGGATATGTCCCAGAGGTCATTCTATGTCACTTTTCTTTGGGACATTTCTTATGTCTTTCAGTCTGTAGATTAAAGTGTTCTTTCACTTATATAAAGTTATCTTGAATATTTTTTTCTTTGCTACTTGTTTCATTCTCCCTCATATGGACATACTGGATACCTTTTAACTCCTATATTTATAATTATATCTCAAATTCTTTTTAGTTCTTTTTAAATTTCTATTTCACTTTGCTCACTTTTCTCAACTTAGCCTTTATAAGTCTGTGTTATCTTTGTCCGCCCCCATTTCCCCCATTTATAATGTAGCTTTAATTTCTAGGATTTTTTCTTTTCTTTTCTCTCTGAGTTCTGCTAACTTATTTTACATTTTCTTCTGTTTCATGTCATCATGTCTTCTGCTTTGAAGACTTGTTTTAAACCATTTAATTAAGACCTTTGAATTCATAGCAATATGTTTGGTCTGCTTCATGGTAACATTTTTCTGGAAAATTTATTTATCTAACATTTGCTTTTTCTATTTCTTTCCTCCTTTTTCTTATAGATTTGTTGTACAGATCTTATGCTTGGTTTTTTCGTTTTTGTTTTGTTTTGTTTTGCTTTGTTTATTCACAAGTATTTGTAGGAAACAACTGGGTCAGTGAACTGAGCTTATAGCGAAGCTGCTATGCCCAGAGTGTGTGTATCTGTGTGTTGTGTGTGCAAAATAGAGAAAAAAAGATGAGACAGAGAGACACTCACACAGTTGGTTTTGTCTTTATATCTCCCTAGCAACTAGAGTTGCTCACAGTATAGTCGCTTTCAACCCCCATTTCATTAACAGACTGCCTCCAATATAGATAACATTTTTAAGGATTTTATCATTCAGCACTGCCTTGCCCTGCTGTTCATGATGCCAAATAGAGTCTTGGAAGTTTCCACAGCTTGTCCCCCTTAAATCTTCGTTGCAAAATAGGGTGATGGTAGTTCTCTTCAGGCATACCACCTATTCAGTGTTCTGCCAACTTTGTTTGAGAATTGAGGTCATAGCGGTATTTAATCTCAGTATATTTTCGGAATCTGGTGTAGTTTTCACTGAATTTGGCAGGCCATACTCATTTATTATGCCTTAGGGTTACATTGGTACCTTATTTTATCAAAGATAAGATTTAATTTTCTTTCTTGTTTTTGGGTGATCTCAAGGATGTAAGATGACAGAGGTATGTTTGTTTTGTTATTTAAAAACATTTCGGTAATTTAAACTTTATTTTTAAATTTATTTTAGAACCAGAGCCATTTTTAAAAATACAGTGTCTTTATTCTTGGTGAGAGTAGGTACCATACCACCTCAGACCATGGTAAGTGGGAAAAATAGTTTCAAAATTCTAGGTACACTGTAGTCACAATAAGATATCTCATCATATAGATAGTTAAGGAACCAAGCTTGGATTCAAGTCTAAGTCTGTCCAAATCCAAAGCCTAAGTTATTTTCATCATAGAACCTTCTCTGAAAGAGGTAGGTATATCTTTATGGTGTCTTTATTATGTTTGTGCTTGTGAACATTTTTCTGTTAACTACTTTTTTATTTCCCGGTTTTTAGTGTGACAAGTACAAGACTGGAGTTATTGATGGGCCTGCATGTAATAGCCTTTGTGTTACAGAAACTCTTTACTTTGGAAAATGCTTATCTACCAAGCCCAACAATCAGGTATGGACATTATGAATAAACATTCCAGGTTGATGGTGCACTCCAATTTTACTTTAAATTAAAGCATTATTAGAATTATTGAACCAGAGCTTTAAGACATTTTATATACTTTAATTTTGTATGCTTTGATTCACTCATCCCACAGATGTTTATTAATCCCTTATTCCCAGTACATTCCAGACAATATTTTAGCTACTAGGGATCCAATGGTGATTAAGATAGATAAAATTACTTCCCTATGGTTCTTACATTATCCCAGAGGGGTGGGGAATATAAACAGTTGATAGATAGATACATAAGCAAGGTAATTACAGAATGTGGTGTGTTTTAATAGGATATACACAGGGCAAATTGATGGAGAACTCAGGGGGTGGGGATGGTAAAGATGTGCTTTAGAGGAGTTGATCAGGGAAGGCCTTTCTAACATAACATTTGAGCTCATATCTGCATTAAGAATTGAACTGCAGCCATGGGCAAAGGGCAGATGAGCTAAATCACAAAGAACTGTAAATAGCTGATAAACATAATGGAAAAAATGTTCTACCTCCCTTATATCAAAGAAATATAAATTAAAACAATGGAATACTATTGGGCTAGAAGAAAATGTAACAAACATCAGCATTGGTTATCCTTGGACAGTGGAATATTGCATGATTTTTAAGTTCATCTTTTTTCTTTGTATTATTTCTCAATTTCCAGTATAAATATACATTACTCTTACAATTATAGAAATTAAAAACAAATTCTAAGTTGGATACTAACCATATTTAAAAGAATTTCTGAAACAAAGTCCAACATTTGAATATCTACTACATACCAGGTACTGTTTAGGGCATTGGGAGAGACCATGAGGCACAAGACAGATAAAGTCTCTGGTCTCTTGTGCCTTATGTTTCAGGTGAAAGAAGACAAATAATAAGTCAATAAATTAATAAGTAAGACCATGTTCAGACAGTGCTAAAGGCTGTGAAGAAAATAAAATGGGGTCATGAGTTAGAGAGAGAGTGGTTAGGGAAGGCCTATCTAAGGTGATCATCTGATCACATCTGATCTGAGACTTGAATGACGCGAAGGAGCTGGGTCTATGAAGATCTTTGAGAACCAACAGCAGATGAAGCATGTCATGAAACAGTGATAGGACTGATAGGTTTAAGGAACAGAAGAAAGACCAGTGTAGCTGAGATATACTCAGGAAGTAAGTGGGACAAGATCAGATTGGAGAAGTAGGCCAGGCCAGCTCATATGAAGCCTAACAGGTAATGAAAAAGACTGGATTTTATACTAATTAAATTAGAGGGTTTGAAGCAGGGGAGTGATATAATCTGCTTTGTTTGGATTAATATAATAATCTTATTTATTTTTTATATATAAGCAAGAGTAGACTGCCTGGGCTCAAATGCTGGCTTTGCCACTATTGTGTTACCTTTAGCATACTAAGTAACACTATAGTGTTACTTTCACTTCTCTTTCCTTCAGTTTCCCATCAGTAAAATGAGGATAATAACAGTATCTACTTCATAGGATTGATATAAAGAGTAAAATAATAAAATAAATTAGTAGACCAGAGCACATAATAAACACCACATAATATTAGTTTGATAAATAGCTAGATAGTTAATAATGACTAAATTTGGGGTTTGGGGTTAGGGAGATGGATATAGATGAACTTTGCCTTTCATCCTTCTGTGTAATTTGACTTTTTAAAAATTATATTTATAGCTATAAATGCTTACATTAAGAAAAAAGAGAGGCCTCAGATAAACAGCCTAACTTTACAATTTAAGGAACTAGAAAAGAACAAACTAAACTCAAAGCCAGCAGAAGGAAGGAAATAATACAGATTACAACAGAGATAAAGGAAAGAGACTACAAAAACAATGGAGAAAATCAATGAAACCAAAAATTGGTTCTTTGAAAATATCAACAAAATTGACCAACCTTTAGCTAGATGAACTAAGAAGAAGACTCAAATTACTAAAATCAGAAATAAAGTGGAGACATTAGTACCGATTCTACAAAAATAAAAAGGATTATATAAGAGTACAATGAACAGTTGTACACCAACAAATTGCATAACTTAGATGAAACAGGCAAATTTCTATAAATACAAAACCTTCCAAGATATAGAAAATCTGAATAGATCTATATGTAACTAGTAAGGAGAGTGAATCAGTAATCAAAAGTCTCCCAACAAGATGAGCCCTGGACCTATTGGCTTCACTGATGAATTCTATCAAACATTTAAAGAACTAACACCAGTTCATTTCAACCTTTTTCAAAAAATTGAAGAGGAGAGAATACTTCCTGACTTATACTATAAGGCCAGCATTACCCTGATACCAATACCAGATAAAGACACTACAAGAAAACTACAAAACAATATATCTTATGAACATTTATGCAAAAGTCCTCAACAAAATACTAACAAACCAAAATCAGTCGCATATTAAAAGGCTCATATACCACGACCACATGAGATTTATTACTGGAATGCAAGGATGGTTCAACATAAGAAAATTGATCAGTGTAATACACCACATTACCAGATGAAGGGAAAAGGGATCTTCTCAATTGATGTAGAGCAAGTATTTAACAAAATTCAGTACATTTTCATGATAAAAGCACTGAACAAACCAGGAATAGAAAGCTACTACCGCAACATAACAAAACCCACATATGAAAAACCCATAACTAACATGATGAAACATGGAAAGCTTTTCCTCTAAGATAAGGAACAAGGCAAGGATGCCCAGTTTCGCCACTTCTGTTCAACAAAGTTCTAGCCCGATCAGTTAGACAAGAAAAAAAATTAAATGCATCCAATTGGAAAGGAATTAGTAAAATTATCTTGTCGACAGACAATATGATCTAATATAGAAAAACCTAATGATTCTACACACAAAATAGAGCTAACAGGCAAATTTAGCAAAGTAGTAGGAAACAAAGTCAACAAACAAAAATTAATTATATTTCTATACACTAACAATGAACAATCCAAAAAGGAAATTAAGAAAACTATTACATGTACAAAAGCAACAAAAAGAATATTTAGGAATTAACTTAACCAGGGAGACTTGTACAATGAAAACTTCAAAACATTGCTGAAAGAAATTAAAGGCATAAACAAATGGAACATGTTCTATGTTCATAGATTGGGATACTTAATATCGTTAAGATGTTATTACCCAAAGTGATCTACAGATTCAGTGAGATTCCTGTCAAAATCCAAATGACAATTTTTGCGGAAATAGAAAAACGCATCGTAAAATTTATATGGAATCTCAGTGGACCCTGAATAGCCAAAATCATGTTGGAAAAAGAAGCACAAAGCTTGAGGATTTGCACTTCTTGATTTCAAGTCATACTATAAAGCTACAGTAATCAAAACAGTGTGGTACTGGAATAAAGGTAGACATATAAACCAATGAAATAAAATAGCTCAGAAATAAGCCCTCACTTATATGGTCAAATGATTTTAAATAAGGGTGCTAAGACTATTTAATAGGAAAAGGATTGCCTTTTCAATAAATGGTGCTGGAAAAACTGGATATTTGTATGCAAAAGAATGAAGTTGGACTCTTACCTCACACCATATGCAAAATTTAAGTCAAAATGGATCAAAGGTCTAAATGTAAGGGCTAAAACTATAAAACTCTTAGGTGAAAACATAGGGTAAAAGCTTCAATCATGATATTGGATTGGCAATGATTTCTTGAATATGGTACCAAAGGCACAGTCAACAAAAGAAAAAATAGAGAAATTGGACTTCATGAAAATTAAAAAATTTTATGCATCAAAAGACAATATCAATAGAATAAAATCACAAACCGAAGAATGAGAATATTTGCAAATGATATATATGGTAAGGGATTAATTAATATCCAGAATGTATAGAGAACTCCTAAAATGCAGCAACAAAAATCAAACAGCTGGGTTCAAAAATGGGCAAAGGACACGGATAGACAATTCTCCAAAAAGATGTACAAATGGTCAATAAGTACATGAAAAGATGTTCAGCATCACTGATCATTAGGGAAATGCAAATTAAAACCACAGTGAGATGCCATCTCCTACCCATTAGGATGGCTATTATTTAAAAAAAAACAAAAAACAACAAAACAAAATAAGTGTGGTGAGGAGGTAGAGAAATAGGAACCGTTGTGCACTATTTGGTGGGAATATAAAATGGTATAGCCACTACAAAAAAACAGTATGGCAGCTCCTCAAAAAAAAAAAAAAGCCTTATAATCCAGCAATTCCACTCCTGGGTATATACCTAAAAGAATTGAAAGCAGGGTCTCAGAAGAGATATTTTTACACCCATGTCCATGTCAACATTATTCACAATAGCTAAAACATGGAAGCAACCCAAGTGTCTATTGGCTGATGAATGGGAATGCAAAATGTGGTATTATATCTATAATGGAAAACTAGTCAACTTTAAAAAGGAAGGAAATTCTGACACCTGCCACAATATGGATGAACCTTGAGGACATAATGCTAAATGAAATAAGCCAGTCACAAAAAGACAAATTCTGTATGATTCCATTTATGAGTTACTTAGAGTGAGTAGGCAAGATCATAAAGACAAAGTAGAATGGTTATGCCAGGGGCTGGGGAGAAAGGGGTAACAGTTATTGTTTAATGAGTATAGAGTTTCAGTTTTACAAGATGAAGACTTCTGAAGGACAGTAGTGATGGTAGCACAGTTTCATCAATGCAATACCACTGAATGGTTAAGATGGTAAATTTTATGTTTTTGATATTTTACAACAGTGTACAAAATAAAATTGACAGTCATGGTCAAAAAATAAATATTTAGGAATACATTACTTTTATAACTTAAAAAGGAAAAAAGTTTTGGAGTATTATTTCAAAATTGCATATCAGTCAGTCAATCTCAAATGTTTTGTTGCTTGTGTTCTTTTAGAGGAGGACACTAAAAATAAGGTGGTAGATTTGTCTACTCAGCTTAAAGCATAACTTGCTGTTCTTTTTCATAGATGTATTTAGGGATTTGGGATAATCTACCAGGGGTTGTGAAATGTCAAATGGAACAAGCACTTCATCTTGATTTTGGAACAGAATTGGAACCAAGAAAAGAAATAGTGCTATTTGATAAACCGACTAGGGGAACTACTGTACAGAAATTCAAGGAAATGGTCTACGGTCTCTTTAAAGTAAGTATTCCCATCCACGTTAGTAGTGTGAAGCAGTACTCTTCTGGAAGACTTGTCAGGACCTCATCCTAAACCACAAAAATGTTGCTATTTTTTGACCTGTATCAGGGACTCCATCTTGAGGCAATAATTCAGAGAAAAATGTGTAGAGATATTTAATCACTAAAAATGTTATGAGAGGGACTTCATTCTGTAGTTTGACATAACTGATACATTTTTTTTTAAAGGTGAAATAAAATTAGTGCATCCTGCTTGCAAATTATTTTTAATTTAAAGAAATATTTAAAAATTAAATGGAAATATTAAAAGATGAAAATAATCACCTTTTGGAAAGAATTGGAAAGAATCTTTTTTTTTTTTTTTTCCATTTTTATTGCTCTTTTCACTCATCTTTCTTTGCTTTGGACAGTTTTTATTTTCGGACTATTTTCTTCCAGAGAAGCTTCACAGGGAAACATTTTTTAGCTTTCATCATTGCAACAATACAACTTCAACAAAATAATTGTTAATGTGATAACTACAAAATAGAAAATAATTTTCAGTTGACCCTCCTTATAACTTTGGATATGAGCACATTAGATTGCAACTTTGCAAGTAAACGTATGAATAAGACGAAGAATTAGCATCTCAGTTAACTGTATTTTATCTAGTATAAGGGGGTTACAGGACTTAAGGTGGCCATTTCTTAAGACGGATATACTTGCCAAGTGAGTTTTACTGCAATTACATAAAACAGTTTTGACTCATTTAGCATTATATTCAGTGGCAACATTATTAGCATGGTAGTAAAGGAAGTTATTAGTATGTTAACATGAGGTATTTTCATTCTTTCTGTATAATTAGCTAAATTCTTATCTTTACAGGCGAAATTGGGTGATCAAGGAAACCTCTCTGAACTGGTTAATCTCATCTTGACAGTGGCCGATGGAGACAAAGATGGCCAGGTTTCCTTGGGAGAAGCAAAGTCAGCATGGGCACTTCTTCAATTAAATGAGTTTCTTCTTATGGTGATTCTTCAAGATAAAGAACATACTCCCAAATTAATGGGATTCTGTGGTGATCTCTATGTAATGGAAAGTGTTGAATATACCTCTCTTTATGGAATAAGCCTTCCATGGGTCATTGAACTTTTTATTCCATCTGGGTTCAGAAGAAGCATGGATCAGTTGTTCACACCATCATGGCCCAGAAAGGCTAAAATAGCCATAGGACTCCTAGAATTTGTGGAAGATGTTTTCCACGGACCCTATGGAAACTTCCTCATGTGCGATACTAGTGCCAAAAACCTAGGCTATAACGATAAATATGATTTGAAAATGGTAGACATGAGAAAAATTGTGCCAGAGACAAACCTGAAAGAACTTATAAAGGATCGTCACTGTGAGACTGATCTGGACTGTGTCTATGGCACAGATTGTCGAACTAGCTGTGACCAGAGTACGATGAAGTGTACTTCAGAAGTGATACAACCAAATTTGGCAAAAGCCTGTCAGTTACTCAAAGACTATCTACTTCGCGGTGCTCCAAGTGAAATTCGTGAAGAATTAGAAAAGCAACTTTATTCTTGTATTGCTCTCAAAGTCACAGCAAATCAAATGGAAATGGAACATTCTTTGATACTAAATAACCTAAAAACATTACTGTGGAAGAAAATTTCCTACACAAATGACTCTTAGTTCATTTGGACATTGTGACCATGGTAGAAAATCTACCACTTAAAAAGAAAAATTTTGGCTTCTGATTCAGATCCCTGACAGTTACACAAACCTCCTTTCCCCTGGTCCTAAGAAGCCATCATAAAATACATGTCAAATGCTGAAGTAATGGCAGGAGGCATAGGATCAACATTCAAAAAGATTTCATTCCTGTTTTTTTTTGCTTTTTTGGAAGCCCTGGTACATTTCCCAGTAGATTCACTGTTAACTATTTTGACTGACTTAAAATAATGCTGTGAAAAGCCTCATTCCATAAACATCAACAGTGAAAGTATTCTGTAGATTTGTTAGCCAAAATACCATTGCTGGACACATTGTGTTTGCATTGAAGCTGCTGTTTAAAAGAAAATTTATACATAAATTTACTAACGTCTTAGCATGGTAAAGTTTGCACATTAACAGAAATTAAGACTGCAAAGCAGGTAAATTAAAATTACTCCTTTATAAACAAATGTTGGTTAATAGTATGGTTTGTTGTGTTATAGGCTTGAAAACACTTTAACTCATTTAAAATGACATCAAATGTAATGTGGCCTCAATGTTTTGAGTGGCTCTTACCAAGCCTCTTAAAAATCCAGAACCCCTCAGGAAGTGTTTTATTTGGCAACATGTAACTGCCAATGTTAGAGGCTGAAAATGGATTAACTTTTATCATCTTAGATTCAAATGGTCTATCCATCTTATTTAACCAGCCGAGACCTTCAAAACTAACATCTTAAGACCACAGACCCAATCCAGATCCAGATCTTGAATTTGTGTTATGGGCAAGTAGGACATTAAGAGCAGGACTCTGATACCATAAGACTTTTTTAGTAATAATTTTCCATTTTCAAACAATATATTTTGTTAAGAGGCATGTAAATTTATCCATCTAGTATTTTCTCATGTAAATTTGGTATGAGTTATTTGCAATTCTTTTATGTTTATTCAGACCTTTCAACATCTCCATTAATATGAAACACCTCTTAACTTTCTCTCAAAAATCAGTCATGGATTAGTGCCAGATTTTTTCTCTAAAATTATATACTTTGAAGGTATCTTTTCTTCCCACCAAACATCTGGTTAAAAGAAATGATAGAAACATTTCCTAGTGAAAGGTTGGTCTGTTGCTTGCTAGACTTTTTGGGAGAGCACATCATACAATTTGAAGGATAACTCTTGTCAGGGAGAACAGCCCAATTGGTCAATATGTAAGACAACTTTTTCTGGAAAAAGCTAATCTTGTTTCTTGAAGAAAAGTACTGTCAATTTCAAGGTATTTCCTACAAATTAACAAGGTCTTAACACAAATAGATGCAGATTCAATAAGTTTATTACTATCTTTATATGAAAAATCTTAATAGAAAATTTCAGTTTGGTTTATTAGCTCTCAGCAGCCCGTTCCTGAGCTCTGAGGAAGCTTGCCTTCTTCTGAGCTACCCGATCTTTCTTCTGGGCAAGAGACATTTTGGGACGGTTCCACCTATAAAACAAAGAGACAGGACTGTTATTTTTAAAAACTGCAGCTAAGGAAGATAGAGAACATTTAACTTCGATTGAAAAAGATAGACTTTTGTAACAAGATGGAGGTCAAGCAATCCAAATTCCAATATGTGTATTTATTTATAATTTAAAGCTAACTTTCCCAAACCCTGACTTTTTGTAATACTGTTCTATTACCATATGGGGCCCAAAATCAAACATGTTAATACAATGCTTAGAATCATTAAGTATTAGAAGAAATTGTACTAGGATAGAATGGGCCACCTCAGTAGCTTCTGAGGCTTATACAATTCTACCACCACAATTACTTTAGCAAACCTGGTTCCCTTCACTTCTGCAACATCATGCAGAGTTAGTGATCGAGTTTGCCCAACTTCACCCAGTCTGAGTGAGATGAAACAAGGCAGGGAACCCCTCCCTCCCAACCTCTAAGACAACAGTAAGATGTATACCTCTTCTTTTTAACTTCCTTCTTAGGCTTCTTCTCATAGACTGGATTCTCTCGTATAGCAGCATGAGCTTTCTTATACATCTCCTCCATCTGAAACAAAGCAAAGCAAACAGTACTTGGTTTCATTTCATATCCCCTAAACAATAATACAGTGTATTATAATCTACTACTTAAACCTATTTTGTCCTTCTAGCCAAATTCTCAAAAGGCACTAAACTAGATCAGTGGTGGTATCTGCTTAAACTTCTAAATATATATTTCTAAATTTCTTTTCCTAAGAAATTCCCAATTTTTACGATAGGCAATATGAGTTGACATTCACAAAACTCAATCTTCCTCAAAATTTTTTTTCATGCATTTCTGAGGACTTTGGCTATATTTAAGTCACTCAAGTTTGAAGCAAACTGATTTCTGTAGAAACATATTTTATAGTCATTTAAAATACTATCTAACCTAAATTCATTCAAGTAAGGATACACACCAAAACAAAGCTTTAAGATGTTAAGATGACAAGTGTTTAAGAGGTCAAGAAGTAATTGCCAAATTAATTTGTCTTCCCCACATTCTCCAGATTTACATTTTCCATTGGTATCTGAAAGGTCTTTCATAGCTATCTCAGTACTGCATACCAGGGACCTCTTATATCTTGTACTACTACTACTACTATTACACCACGAGTTACTCGTATCTTGGCAACAATATTAAGCCTCTGTGGAACCAAAAGGAGGTGCAAATTTCTCTAGCATACCCTCAAAGCTTATCCAGTTGGACATCTTGGTGAGAATTTTGTTCTAAAACTCATCAAAAAATAATGTTGCAACTCTGAATTGTTTCAATTACCACCTACAAATACAGTCTAACCTTAAAAAAGATTCACAGATTCATTTATACACTGATTTTTTTTCAAGAAATATACAGCAGGCCTCCTTATCCCTGCAGATATTGAGGGACGATTATAGTTAGTTTGGGAGAAGTGGATTTTTGACTGCTTTGAGGGATGGCATGGGTTGGCACCCTTTACTCCACCCCTCCTTCCACATTATCAGGGTCAACTATAAATGACTTGATCCTGTGCAAGATCAAGTCATGAAGAACAGCTGTAAAATGCCTGAGTGTTCATTACCAAAATCTAGTAAAAATTACAGACCCCTAAAACGAATAACGTAATCCAGGTCTCTTAAATTCAAAGTGGAGAAAATTCAATTACTACATGCATTTGTGTAAAGCTTAATTATTTAATCAGCAAAGGAAAATAATGCGAAATTTTTCACTGCACAAGACCTCAACTACCTAAATCACGTTTGAAAGTTAATTTACCTCTCTTAGCACTTTATTACTGCTTTCCACTGTACTTAAAATCCATCTGATGACTTCAAAAACATGCACCTATCTACATTACTAAAATCACTTTTCCTAGCTCAAAACTCAAACTATGTGTTTATCCACCAGCCCTAGCCTATATACTGAGCATACAAATAACAAAGTAGTCTTTCCCCAATTAAAACACTATCTTAAAAATAATTTTCATAACCAAATATAACTGCACTAACAGAAAAAAAATCTAACAATTACTCCCTAACACTTAATATGTAACCCATTCATCTGTATATAATTCTGTATTTGTAATAGTTTTATAACAGTGTGATTTGTATTCTATGCTTTCATTACAATTTCAAAACTGGTATTATCATCTTCAGTCACTCCAATGTGTTGACAGAAAGCCCTGGAAAACTCGACTTTAAGGGTGATAAATTCTCCAACATTAAACTCACTTTAGCAAACATGGTTCACTTCTTCAGCATCATGCAGGACTAGTAATAGAATCTGTAGATATCCCTTTCTGTGTGCATGCCTAAGACATCCAGAAAGTCCAAAACACACGTACTTGCTATGAAAGAACCTTTCTTCCGCATGGCCTCAAAATGAAGTGTAGTAACTAGCACTTCATAACAGACACAGATTAACTATGACCACAGAAATGAAATCTATACAGAACAGCCAAATACATAAAAGCTACCGAAGGCTTTAAATTTAGATGCTTGAAACCTGCCATCCTTTGTCTTCTAAAGATTCCTAAAAGCATGTTGTCAAGACTAACTCATGCTACCTTCCTTATCCTAGTTTATAACCTGCCCTAGATCCAACATCCCAATTTCATGTCATTTCATTTTAGGCCAAGGACAGCTTATTTGAGTCTGTCTATACCTATGAACATGCCCATATTCAACTTTTAACTGTTAACCTGAAATGAAGCCATATAATGTACCCACTAAAAACAAATAGTAAACCTAGTTCTATAATTAACCACAGGCATATTTAGTTAAAAATTTTACCATGTCTGGAGTTACGTTGTTCTTTATGTATTGAGAGAACTGTTTCTTATAAGCGTCTTCATCTTCTTCCATTAGGTAACGCATGTAATCTGCAACGTTCTGACCCATGATGTGCTTCCGATGTACTTCTGCATTGAATTCCTTGCTTTCTGAATCATAGCCAGGGAATCGTTTGGTACTAAAAGAAAGTTTTTCATATTTTAGTATACACTGATTTACATCACTTCACTAGCAGGAATTCATTTCTGTAGCTGCCTTCAGTCCCGTCTTGAAACAATTAAATTGCATCATGTGCAACCAAAGGACCAACTGTTGACTGCTCAGTTAGTGGGATATCATCATTCAGCAGCTAATTTCTGAATTCCAGGATGGAAAATCATGCCACGAACACTTTTAAAAACCATTAAATAAACCAAGTCTTTTCACCACTATAAAGTTAGTCCTCCTTATCATCATAGCAAAGTTTTAAAACTGCCCCCACCCCGATCCTAGAATTTCATAGTGGTGCTTCAGGGTACATGGGAGTTAAGTGAGTCACTCAAGATTACATAGCTGCCTTGAAACAGAATTGCAGATCTACAACCCTTCCTCCCCAACATTATAAAATTAAGTTCTAGTTACGTTACATTTCATATATATATACACACACAACTCTTGGATGTTAAATCACCAACCACTAAAACATTCCTAAAAAGCTAATAAATCATTTAAAGATGTTTCTACTCAACAACAGATATCATTAATCCAAAGGAACATCCCAATTAAAACAACTTAATTAGCTTCTAAGAATGGCCTACAATCTTATATCCAGTTAAAAGTTTAGAAATCTGTCATAAGCCTTTTTCATGAAACTTTTTTCCTTGAGACATTTTCCCATAACTCAGTAATTTTCTTTCTGAATGGAAAAAAAATGCACTGGAAGGGAATGGGGGTGGGTGGGCCGTGATGAAATCAAGCTCTTATTTCTAACCAAAACTTAAGTCACAAACGAAAGGTAGTGGTTTCAACCCCGGCTCTTCTACTTCTTGGCTCCAAAATCTTGGATAAACCATTTTGACCACTCAACCCCAGTCTCTTCACATATAAAAATGTTATCAATTCCTTCCAGCCCTGCCAGGTTCCTTTTGAAAGTACCTAGCATACAGCAGGCACTCAATGATAGCTACTATTACTTTAACTGATTCAGTAATCTCCACAGTCTGAGTTTGAAACAGTGAAATATGGAGTTCAGGCAACGAGGCCTTGAATACTATATTACCTGTGAGGAATAGACAAGCCTCCATCCACAGCTCCCTTCAGGGCCCCAAAAACTTTATTTCCAGTAGTAGTTCTTGCAAGCCCTGCATCCAAATAGCAGGTAAAGGCACCAGGTTGACCATCAATGCTTTCCACATTGTATTCATCTCCGGTCACCTCCACTTGGCCTTCATAGATTTTGTCCATGCCAAATCTATTGAGAAGCTATTAACAAAAAAAACCAGTCTAAATACCTGTCTGAATATATTCAAACAATATCTCAAGTCACAACTTTAATGACCTGACAAAAATTTTCCAATTCATTTATCCCTTTATCCTACTCTGCATCAAGCTGCTCTCGTAGTTAATGACAATGTTCCCCACGCCCAAACATATTTATAACCAATGAAGATGTGGGTCCCCGACAATGATGCATGCTTAACAATCCCACTGCAAAACAATGTCAGTAACTTAGGAAACAAAATGCAAAATCATTTTCATCTTTTCTGCATGACAGGAAATACTGCCACCCAGAGGCAGAGATGATTAAAACAAAAATGAATCTTCCACAATGCCTGCCCCGTCCCACAAGAAACTGCTTCTCAAAATTTAACATACACATAAATCACTTGGACATCCTACTAAACTATAGATTCTTAAGATATGGAGCAGAGTCTGTGTATTTATGTATGCTTACAATCAGATCTACACTTCTGAGTAGATCTGCCCAACAAGGCAGCCACTAACTAGCCACAAGTGGCTATTAAAATGTAAATTAAAAATTCAGTTCATCAGTAGTACTAGATACATTTCAAGTGCTCAAAAGCCACGTGTTACTGGTTACCATATCAACAGCACAGATTAAAGATATCCACCAATGCAGAAAATTCTATTGGTCTAAATACATCCAACAAACAGGACAGAAAAACAGGAAAACTGCTTCCCAAATCTGTCAGAAAATGTATGGTGTTTCGATCAAACCTTGTTTTTATAAAATCATCTTTGCCAATGATGCCCTTATAAGCTACACGGTAACAACAAGCACTCTCTTGACCTCACAGCTGAGGGTATTTTATCCATGTGTGAACATTTACCTTACAGAAAATTCCAAACAATGATCTAATTCCAAAAAACATCAGTTAAAATAGTCCTGTACATACCCTGCGGGCCAGCAGCAGGCCAGTACAATATGCTGCAGCATAATTTGTCAGGCCAACCTTCACACCGTACTTTGGAAGTTCATGAGCATAAGCTGCACAAACTATCATATCTCCTTCTATACGGGCATAAGCAATCTGTAAGAGGAAAAAAAAGGTTAGTAATCTGCTTTCACTGTTTAAGTACCTTCTTGTTCCAAGGACTTGAAGGAAAAAGAAAAAAAGCCGGACATAGATCCACGGCACTTAAAATTTGTCTTTGTTAAACCCACTCACATCCAACTACATATGGCTTGGTCAATTATAACAGGTAGATTTATGACTCTGTAAATATGTTTGTCTAATGTCACAATATGTAAGACTAAAATTATCATATGGACACTGAATACTAAAATGCCTTTGGGATAAATACTATACTTCCTTACTTCTAAATACAGAAGACTTAGCAGGTTAGCTGCTGAATTAAAGAGGCATTTTGAAAAGTCAAAGGAATCCCCAATTATTTCAAAAATCTTTTGAATTAAGCATATTTAAGTCCAATAACGTTTTGGACACTCAGTGTTTAGTTATGTGAACTCAGGCATGGAGGAAGATTTTGCCCAGAAAACAGGGGTGTCTGCCTCCTACAAAGGCCCAGCAAATTTCAAGTATAAAAATTTTCCCTAGTTGTTAAAAGCTCATAAAATTGTCTTCTAGGAGCAAACTGCCACTTTTTTGGAACAATTTAAGAGGGAGACACCTTCATACATAACAATTAGAACTTACTTCAAACAAAAAGCAAGAATAAGAACAATCTTAAAAGCCTAATTTAACCTTCACAACTACCCACCCCTTAAATAGTGAATATGTGGTATGTAAGACCATATAGCAAAAGGCAGGACTTATAGTCCACGGCAAATTCTATCGTTCTACTGGAATTTTTGTGAGCAAGAACCTTCTACTTGCTCTCTAAATTATCCTCCACCTCACCCACCCCTGTAAAATAAGGTAGAACCATAACCTTCTTTGCCCCCCCAATTAGAAAATAAATGGGATTCAACTGGGCCCGGATTGATAAACGAGGCTTTCAGTCAGAATATTTTTTTAAGCACCAATTTCCAGGCTCCAATTTAAGACCTACAAAAAGGGAAAGAACTACTCACTTAATATTTTTGGAGTCTCAGGCATTACACTTGATGGCCCTTCTAACCCATACATGTTTTTGTTTTCCAAGTACAATTTCTCTAGCACAGTAAATTATGGGGAGGTAGGTTTACCATCATTGCTTGAGTCTAGAATGCAACTTACCTGACAAATGATATCTCTGTTGGTTACACGAACTATCATCCTGTATTTGGGTGTGTTGTACTTATTTTTATCCTGGATTACCAAACGTTTTCGGGCATAGTAATCAGTTTTACCCTCTAAAAGAAAAAAAAAAAAATAGTTTAAGAAAGTCTACACCACTGCAAAGATTTTTTTCACTATGAACACGGAAACCTGACCATACCTCGTCGTCTTCTGAATTTCACTTGGTATCTCTTGAAGTAGGCCTTATTCTTGACAACTTTAACAAACCCCTTAAAAAGGAAAAAAGAATTATTAAAACAATGGTAATTGTTTTAGCTTATACTTTTTGACATCTGAAATTGTAACAAAACAACATTTGAACTTCAAAAGTGAATCTAGACAACTGTCACTTATGTAGAGTCCAGTGTTTCTCAAACCATCTGGGGTCAAAGATCACTATTTCTTCTCCTTTCCATCAAGACAGTTTTGTATATAACAAAATAAAGATGAATCATTGGGGGAAAAATGAAATAAAAAAGCAAACATACAAAACACAATGCGATTTCTTATATTCATCAGATATAAAACTGTCACTGTTTTTAAATTTTTTAATGCTTACTCTCAACTTTTCTACCTCTTCCTTGGCGGACCAACACTGATTCTTGTGCCAAACTTTTGCAAAGCCCTGCTCCAGACAGCAGTCAATCTTGACAAACGTTCATCTGTTCTGAACACTATCCCATTTCGAGAACCTAAACTCCTATTTTCCATCACTTTACATACACGGACGATTTTCAAAAGTCTAAATTATACCACAAAACTGAACTTGCTAGATCATATTCAGCAATTACTCCCAATTAAAACAGGACTGTCTCCCACCAACTTAGCAACACTCGCTCCAAGAATCATTAAAAACTGGTACCAGAGACAGTCTATAAAGAGGCAGAAAGCGCATACCAAGCCAAAGGAGCTTCCTTTCAGGGCTCACAGACGCCGCAGCCTCCAAGCTCTACTGACGGTTTTGGCTTAAAGGCAACTTCTTCAGACCAACGACACCGGCTTTCTGAAAACACCCGCCGGACCCAACGCTCTCCCGGAAAACCCACCAAACAGTCAGGGGTGGGGCTGGGTCCAAGAAGTCGCAGCCTGTCTCCAATCAGGTATGCCCCACCGAGCTTTGAGACTGACAAATGCAACCTCGCCTGCCGGGGCTCCCTTGGACGAGCCGGCACTATCTCCGTGCTTGTCTACTGAACTCACCACCCTCCACAGCCCGCCGCCCCAGGTCCTGCTCTTCTTCGTCAATCCCCTTCCCACCAAGTTTGCGCGCCCGGTGGCAGCCATTAAGGCCACGTTGGGAGCTGCAGCCCGACCTGGGCAAAGCTGGCAATCTAATGCCATCCGACCCCTGCGCCACGCAAGATCGGCCGTAGGTTAGCGTTAAGGTTAGGAGAAAGAACCCCCGTCCATCTGTAGCCCCAGGATCGGGATACCCACTCACCATCCTGCGGAACAGAGAGACCCGCGTTCGCGGCTCGTCACAGACCTACAGGCCAAGCACAGCTCCGGGGGGAAAAAAGGCCCCAGCTCGTGCGCAGGCGCAGTATGTAGCGCCGGCGATCACGTAAGCGACGTGCGGAAGAGAAATCCGCCGTCCGTCTGGAGTACGGCATGTCTCCCCCTGC